CGATCAAGAACATTTCAGTGTATGTATGCATTATTGAAATTCTCATCGAAGAAAACCTTCAGGCTATGGTCACGGAAACGTCAGTTTTGGATCCGGAAGAAGGTATCCGTTTTCGCGGCTACTCGATTCCAGAGTGCCAAAGGCTGCTACCGAAGTTACCCGGCGGAGACGAACCACTACCCGAGGGTATTTGGTGGCTATTGTGCACAGGCGATATTCCAAATGAACAACAAACCAAAGCCGTCAGGTACCGTTACTTTTTATACAGCTATCATCACCATATTTATTCGGAATTTCTCTCTTTGAATCAACTGTACATTCATCACGAATAAAAGGGAATCACACTTGCCATTATGCTTTATATGATTTGCAAAATGCAATTTCGAATCGGATATGGTGATTCTATGCTTTTAAAGATTGTTCTGATTGGTTTTTGATGTACGAAATAGGTTTGTGTTTACTCTTCGAACAAAGAGTTATTTTATAAGATCAGAGATAAAAATGAGTGCGGTGAGCGCACACTGAAAGCATCGTGATGCTTGAATGAGATGAATGCTCAACAACAACAACAACAAATATTTTGAATCGTATACTTTCCCAACAATTCCTAAATTTGGACGAATCGATGCGATGCGATTGTCCTTGTAATTTGCTTGGTAGAGTAAGATGCGAATATTCATGATAACAATAGTAATATCAGTAATAAAAATGATCATAGTAGTGATTATATGAGTAATAAAATGAAATAAAACACTGCAAACAATGTACAGCATAAGTAGACGGCAGCGTTCCGGCATGATGAGGTTGATGAGTGGAATTGCGATTAATAATGGTAATTCAGCACGGCTGTTGAAGTTAGGATCGTAACTCATGTTAAGACTCATCGAATACAGTTCAACAGGTCAATGACTTGCTAGATATAGTTGCAGATACTATAAATCAATAAGATCAATAAGATAAAGATCAATACTATAAATCAATAAGATTGGGACAATTTTCATTGAATGAATGCGTTCATATTGGCCAGTAAATGAAATTGCAGTCGAGAGTGGGCGGCTAAGGCAGATCTTCCTGAACACATTGAGAAGATGATCCGAAATTTCCCATCGAAAGTACATCCGATGGCACAGTTTGTGTCCACAATCGCAGCTCTGAGCAGTGAGAGCAAATTCGCAGTTGTAAGTATTTTAGTTTGACAGCGACTGGAAATAAAGAGAAACTTTACAGAATTGAGTCGTACTCGTTAAAATCATCAATGACTATTTCAAAACCATCAAAAATTTAGTGTCATTGATAAATTCGGATGGTATATCCTCTCGATCCACACTATAATAAACTGATGATGCAGACAACGGTGTTGTCACAAATCTTTTTTCATTCAGGCATATCATCATGGCGTTCC